TCATACTAAGTCCATTTTGTTTCTTCAATCTTTATAACTATCACGTGATCTGTGGCTAGCAATTCTTTGATGTGGTATATTAATCATTATTCTTGGAGTACAACCCACAATGATATGATCATGTACAGTTAGTATAAATAGCTAAGCTATGAACTGATGTTAGTCACATACCAACAAGAACAAAAAAAGGAGTTTTTGGAAGGGGCTTGTGTCCTTGTCTCCTAGGGCCCTAGGGGCAAAGGCATAAGTCCCTGTCCTTCAAATATTTACAATTTTACTTTAATTTTTTATTGAAGTTATAATAGTCAATGTGCATATTTATGAAATCAAATAAAATCAAATAATTTCCATCCATGAGTCTGGTAGATGCATGAGCAGCATGACAGTCATACAAACCACGAATCACTAGTTCTTTATACACATCTCAGTGGTTTTTTGGAAGATTACAAAGCAGTTTTGGCGGCGAGTCCAAGCACCGTAGGTGTCTTGTTATTAAGTGATGTATTGCCATGATTACGAGAGCTAACTGGCATTGACCTGTATGAGACTGTGGATGCAACTTGTGCTAAATACAATAATTACGATTATACAGGTCACATGACTGATATGTACCCTCACATGATGTAGAGTGGTCTCTCTCTTTGTAGATGTATTATTGTGTCATGATGATGAGCTGGAGGGTAGAAGGATTGCATACATATACTATCTTCTAATAGGAGAAGAATGATTGAGGTAGGAATTGCCATATGGCACTTGAATGTAGTGGAATTTTATTTTGACAGTTGGCAATTTGTGATTTCATCTGTTAGGTATAAAACTACAAATCGTTAATGTGCATGCTTGTGTACATAAAAATTAGCAATAAAAATTGTCTAATTATGGTACCACATGATATGACATTAATACTTTATTCTTTTCTCTTCATAGGGACACTTGATTTATTCAATACTGATGGTATGTACATTTATGATTAATAATAATAATTATTATTTTAGTGTGTAGATTATGGTCAGCTTTATCAGATTGCTCATTCTATATTGTTCCTTTGTGGAACTCTTGTATTCTTTGAAGTCACTCCAGCCTCTTTTTATTAAGTAAGATAGGCCATTATACAATCGACCAATCAGATTCTCTCACTCACATGTGTTAAGTATCTGAAGTGCTGACGGCTTCAAAGACTCGTCTAACAATCAATGGCTGGTTGTATGGGCCGTCATTGCCCCGCCCATCTCCTTATAAGGAAATCATTCCATCAATTAATGCACCACCCACTGGATGAACCAGTATGTTAACATATAATAATTGTTGTTTTACTTGTCAAACCAGTTAGAGATATTGGTGGAGTAGTGTATCTTAATGTCGGTACACGATCACAGATATGGGAACAATTTGAGAGTGAACCACAAATTGAATTACATGACTTCTTGATAGTGAGTGAACCAAGAACAGTTTGAATTAACCAATCAAATTACTCAATGGAGGTTAATGAGCCATATATACTACCTCTCAGACTGTGATAAACATTTATTTAGCCTTGGGGTACACTTATTAACCCCTGGTAAAAACACTTATTATTTCACTATACCTGTTAATTACATGTACATGTATGTTGTATGACTGCATCAGTGGGTTGAAATAATAGAAATCTCTATCTTGGTGCAACATGTACATAAAGAATAATTCATTATACTTACATCATATATATTAACTTTAAGAGATTACATTATATGCCATATTATGTTCACTGTACATTACATTACATGTCAATGTCATCATGTGTAATGATGTATTGCAAGTGCATGGAATATACATGTACACAATATGCTTACAATACCGGTAGCTATATTGTGTCGTATTTACAATGTATATTATGTGAACTTTGTCTGACTTAATAAAAATTGTAGTAGACTTATTGTGTGAAATGGCCAAATTTAGTCATGATATCTAGGATTACAAGAATAACTATAATTTGGAAACATGACAGTTATTTCACATGAATGATAAGGATAAATCAATAATAGTTCAGTTACAACTTACACATACAAGCATGTACATTGACTTCTTACAATCTTATGTGTTTTTACCATTTCACTGTACATGTACATTATATTCATTTATACTTAGGTGTAGTCAGAGGGCAGGGGGACAGTTGTCCCTCTTTAAAATAAAACTTAAAATTAACAAAAATTAATAATAAGCTGCTTTTCAAAGAAAAACTGACATAATAAAAGATTTGTCTTTTTATGTTTCTATTATAAGGCCAAACATTGTTTATCAATTTTCAGGAATTTCACCATGTTTGAAAAGAGCCTAAAGAGGTATGTTTATGCCTCAAAGAGGACTACTTTTGCAGTGCACTTTGTGTACTTCAGAACTTACCCTACCATAGGCGGCGGCAGGATGGAAAGAGTAATTGGGCAAAAATGGTGTGCGAAGCGTGCTGTGATTTTAGCCACACCTACTTTTTACGCGTATTTTGGGCGTATACTCAACGTACGCATACAATATAATTATGCCATAAACATGCACCTAAAAGGCCCCCTATCTAATCTTTAAAGCTCTATTCAACCTGTAAAGTGCTAGTCCTGGTCCTCTTGGAAGGCTTGTTGCCAAAGGAAAGGATGAAAAACTGTGTCTTGCTAGCCATGGTAATTATTTATGACTAAAAATTATGTTATTAATTAAATTCTTATTTCCAGTCAAAATTTTTGGTCGGGCATTGCCGTCCATGCCCAACCCTGCTGCCGCCTATGTACCCTACACTCCAAAAATACAGAATTATAGCCATTTTAATAGTTTTTCAGTGGTGCCATTTGCGTACCATTTTTATAGAAAATTGTTGAGGTTATGAATGTTTTGTTGTGATGGATCTGTTCCTTTTTGCCTTTTGTGTGCACTGCATGTGTTTTCATGCATTTTTAAAATTGCTTTTGACTGACTCAAAAATGGAGCAAACTATCAGTCACTATAGGTGGGTGTGGGTTAATGATAACTTTAATTTTTAGTATGCCTGGTTGTAGAAGAAGGCCTAGGACGGATTTAAAAAGAGGCATGATCCTGTACGCACTGAGTTGGAATGTGACAACAGCTCTTCTGATATTACTGTTGTAGACAAGGTATAAATCCCATGGAATCTTCTATTTCAGTAAATAAACTATAGAGTACCAACACAGATACTATAATTATGATGGAAAAGAGTGCCATTACTGCTTTGTCATGTTTAGCGACATCAGAGAAAGTCAGTACTTAATTGTTATAATGACATTTATTTTTGATTATCATGATTATAGGGTACTAGTACAATTGAGAATGATAACGATGAATTGTATTTCAGTGTTTGGAAAGAATGAAGATTTTGATGAAACTTTGTAAATATGGACGGCAAAAAGCATCTGTGCTTGACCTTAATTATGACTAAAATTATTATATAGGCATATAAAATAATATCTTATGTTTGATGTGATAAACAATAGTCTCTACTAGAGCTTTCCTTTTATCCCCTTTTGATTTCATCACAAAATCAATGTGTGTGATTTGACCTCTTTGGTGATATAAGTATTCATCTGGAGCTCATCCAAACAGAGAACTTTGCTAAATAAAAAATCAAGTTAAACTCCTCACTAAAGTCCTCATTGCTGATGGCCATGCTTACTCACGTGTGTAGATTATTCATTATTATTCTTTATGAGTCACCATTAATATAACTTCCCACTCTAATCACTTTCTTATGTGCTCGGGTGTAGGGACATGCACATTATTCTTTTTTTCAACCCTATAATTCTATTCTTCAATTCTCTTCCTCAATCCCATTATTCTCTCCTTTTTGGCCCATTATTCCCATTATTATGCTCTGATAATACCAAAAATTCATTTTGATTATTGATATCATCATTCATGGTTATATTGTAACACTACTGATGACTCAATGTAATCCTTAAGTGAGTTACTTTGAGTGTCCTTAAATCTGTTCAGTATTATTTCCAGTGGAGTTACTCATTGCTGCTGCTGTAAAGTGCTGTTAAATTGTACTGTACTGTACTGTTTGCTGACACATGCTCATGCAGTATTAAAAGGGTTAAATATTGATCACATGATCCAGGCAGGCAAATTTTAACCCATTATTCTTTCTCTAAATTTCACACCCATTATTCCAAAGGAAATTCCCGAATAATGTGCGTGTCCCTACTCGGGTGGCTATTTGAGAAACGGTGAACTACTAAGGCTAGCTATTTTTCATATAGTCAGCTCCCCAGCCTTTCAATGGCTGAAGCTACAGTTTCTAGCCAATCTATACTGAATGGAAGGACCTTAAGTGAGTACTTGTAGCTTATTGAAGTTTTCAATAGATCTACAGATAAAAGAGATCTCTGTGAAGTGATGACGCTACTTGAGAGGCATGACTACAGCAAAGCATCATATCATGAACTTGGTTTACGTCTGAAATTATCCAACAACACATTAAACAAGTTAAAGAAAGACTATGGAGAAGTTGATTCTTGTTTTAGAGAGTGTTTGGCTAGCTGGTTGTGTAAAGCTGATGGTGTGGAGAATCCAACAATAGATACACTGATAGCTGCTCTTAGAGGAATAGGAGAGAATGCTGTAGTTGATGGTATTAATAAAGAAAGACAAAGTGAATATAGGGCCATTATGACAATATTGAAATTCTTATGTTTTAGGTTTAGTGGCTGTTTCAACAAGTGAAATGTCAGACAGGCCCGTATTGTTCACACTTACCAGTGATGGTGAGCCAGTGTAGACTGTAGCTAGAGATCTATAGTAATTAATGATGAATATGAGCATGTAGATCTGTGTTTGGGATTACAATTGTAATTCATTGTAAGGCCACTCCAATTAAATTCATAGTTTCTTCTTACACGTGCAGGCGCGGGACTGATGTGGGCGAGCGGTAAGTTAATTTTTATTTTAAATTTTGATTAAAAACAATAAAGTTTCGACAAAGTAGCAACTATACCTGATTCCTTCTTTACTAAAAAACTATAGAGCGGCGATAAGCCCAGTTATTCTTCAAAATAGTGAAAAGAACCTCGAAAGACTCGTATGTTTACGTTATTATTATTTTTAATATTTTAATTGAATAATTAAAATATCGGCGTGGGCAAGTGGGCGGCAAGGAGAAACTGCAAATTTAGTTGGAGTGGCCTAATCATAGATACTATGGCCTAATTGATTACATATTTTTCTGTAATCATAATCACACTATTAAATTTATGACCAAAATCATGATTGTAATCATACCTATTTGTTCAATTAAATATAGAATTGTGATAATATGATTGTTACTATTGCAATGGGCCTATATAGTATATTTTAACTTTACCTATTATTCTATTTCTTGATTCCTGCAATTATACAATACCTACCTATGCTATTCTCTAGTCTCGCGTAGCCAAACCCATCCCCCTTTTTGACAATTTGGACGCCGTCCAAATGTCAAAAAGGGGGCTGGGTCTGGCTACGTGAGACTACCTATTCTCAATATTATTTTCAATTATCATTAGAATTTAAAATGACATGATGTGTGTTCAGTAGCTGTACCAGCCATACTATAATGTTAGATGCAATAAAATCTGCTTGTTTTTGAGTGAGTGAGTATTAAAAAACCCTCAGATGCAGCACTGTATACCGGTAGATGTTAATTTGAACTAGCACATGCCCATCTTTTGCATCTTTTCATTAAACTTTACCAAGTCCCCTCCCACTATTCTCAAATTTGGTTTTGAACCTATTATTCTTTAAATCACATTATTCTGAAATATTTGGCCCAAAATTGCACTTCAGTCATGATCTCAACGCAAAAAATAAAGCTCGTATAAAAATGCTGCTATGCAGTTGGAGCTGATAGACACTATGGCATATACAGTGTACATGTGTAATGAGGCATTTGCGAAATGAATAATTAGAATTAGAACTAATACGGCTTGGGGTGTTGCTTAGAGACGATTTTTTTTGTTAAAAGCTAAGAGCAAAACAAAATTTTTAATGTTTTTAAAATTAAATTTTACTTTAAAATTAAAATGTAAAATTTGATCAAATATAGAGGTGAGTGTTCTCTTGCAAATAATCAACTCTAGAGCAGTGAAAACTAGCTCTTTCTTTTAACTGAATAGTGCATCATGGAGCAGAAAGGCAGGGCTTTGTTATGACATGATGGATTGTTTGCAAGGTACTTCATTACTAAACTAAAATAGGAAAACAACAGTACATGGTGTCTGTGTGAACTTGCATGTATTCAAAATTTTTACTAAAAAACACAGCAAAGATGGAGTTGCTACAGCTGTAGAGGAAGATCTGATCTACAATATTCACTGGCTTCTGATGGTGTGCGATAGCAGACTCTAAGCATACACTGTTGCCTTTTATTTAAATGCTTAGTGAGGTGTTTGTTTATCCATTGCCTGCTTACAAAGAATTACATAACTTTTTCCTTGACCTTTAATAATCTTTCTAGAAAAGTCTCTAAGTAGATTATTCATTAAGTGATATCAGCAAAATTAAGAAATTTTCAGTGTTTTCAACATTTGTCATCAGTTCTACTTCCTTTATATATAATGTAATCTTCTATAGTTCTGGAAAAGTGTTTACTGCTAATCCACAGACTATCCATGGGATTAAAAAAGAGAGAGGGCAAGTATGACTGGACTGGATTAACATGAAGTATCAGAAAATATAAAAAATAAAATATTTTTGTGGCTCAAAAATTTTGTGAATCTGTTTAAAAAATTTTATAGCTTAATTTTGCAATTTATTTAAAATTGTGACTTTTTCAGCATTTTATCAAAATTGCTAAAAACTTAATCCTAGTGGAGGCTTTAGATTTGCTTGATTTAATAATAATAAATCACTCTGTGTTTGAATATACATTTACTTTAATTTTGTTTTTTCACAGGATATTCAAATTTGATGCAGCTGGACACCATCAATCCAGGTAAAGAGAGCTTTAGTGTATAAGTTCTATAAATGTAATTTGCATAGGTGTACGTGACCTTGAGCTCATAATTGATCAAGTTCCAGAGCTTCAAGAAATTGCTAATGAATTGCAAACAAAATATGGCCATCTTGTTATTGCTGTTAAAAGATTACTTGATCGTCACAAAGTCAATGTAAAAGATGCTAAATTGGTGATAAATGATTGCTTAAAGAGAAAAGTGCATGTTGTTCCTAAGTTGATGCCTTGCATTGATGTTTTTGAGAAGGTTCACGATTTAGACAGCTTCTTTGACTTTCTAAGGAAATATGATTTCATTGGTTTCCTCAATTATGTGCTCTTAAAGAAGTTATCTCAACTAGTTGAAGATGATGGGATTAATCAACGCTTTTTTGAATACGAAAAAGAATATTGCAAATTGTTAAGTGCAGCTTTCTCTAAAAATTCAGTGATCTCTTTTTTTGAGAAAAAATCTGATTTATCTACTACTGCTCCTCTTGGATTACCATATTTTTCCTTTCGCCTTGAGAAGCATTGCTTACCTGCTAATGTTTATACCTGTGTCTCAGCATTTGGTGAATTCTTATGCCAGTCTACTCAAATAGAAACTATTAAAAGTTCCAGTTTGGTATGATTGACAGTAGATCTACCTGCTATTACTTTTTAAAATTTTGTAGGGAAGAGAATTGATAAGATCTATAGAATCTTACACTAAACCTGAAGAGGTTATTGGTTTACTTGAAGCTGGAGCTGATCCTAATGTTACTG